GGACATTTCCTCACTTCCTCTTGTTCTCTGTAGGTTTAGCTGCCAGCCTAACCACATTAGCATTCAGGAGCAGCAACAAAACAGACTCTCCAAATTCTAAAAAGCAAAGACTTCACAATTACCAATAGTAAAATACAAGCTCCTTTTTAAAAATAGTCTTAACGTTTATGCATACAAACCTCATTCTTCAAGACTCTTAAAAAGGTTTGGCATAGTTTATCCAACAGATACCATTTAAGAGTTCTGAAGAATATGTCCACTTAAACTCTCAGCCAAAATTTTCACATTTATAACCATAGCAATCAGCATGCATGAATTAATCTAAATAATATGCTTGTATACTAAATACACTATAAATAGTTTAAATCACCAGATGACCCATACATAAGTAGCTCTTTTAGCTTCTTTTAAAAATACATGTCCAAAATTCCAGTGATCATCCCAACCTATAAAACTAGATTCTTTTATCAATATCATTCTTTCCCCTCTTTTCCCCACCAACTTTCCCAAGACACACACACACACAAACACACCTCCCTTAATAGACCTGGTTTCCTCAAGAAATTATCTGATGGCTCAGTACCAGTTTGATAAGGCAGGCTACAAGGTCTGAGATTCTGGAGAAGATTCTGTATGATACAATTATCTTCTAAGAGACTGCTGTTGGTGACGAAATACAGATTTGCCTCAAGGGATCACAAATATGGTAGACCCGCCACAACTGCCCCCTACTTTTTTTGTTGTCTTTTAAAATCTACTAGAATCTCTCTCTAAAGTTGTATTTCTGTCTTTTCTTCAAGTCATAAAAATGTTCACATTTTAGGCATACAGACCTGGTGAAAAGGCCAAAAACAAACAAACAAACACCACACAATGAAATGTGTTTGCAGCTTCGGTAACTAAACTACATTGAATAGGGTCAAAAATTCATTAGCCTTAAAAAAAAAAAAAAAAAAAAAGGAGGGGGCGGGGGAGAGAGCCTGGGTTTCTCAGTCGGTTAAGCATCTGACTTCAGCCCTCAGGTCATGATCTCTTGGTTCATGGGTTCGAGTCCTGCATCAGGCTCTGTGTTGATAGCCTGAAGCCTGCTTCAGATTCTGTATCTCCCTCTCCCTCTGCCCCTCCCCTGCTCATGCTCTGTTGCTCTCTCTTAAGAATAAACATTTAAAAAAAAAAAAAAAAAGAAACCTCATTAGCCTAATTCTGAACTGCACTTCAGAAAAAAATATATACTCCAAAGCATATACAATTCACTTATTTTTCTTTTTTTTTTTTTAATTTTTATTTATTTCTGAGAGTGAGCGAGAGAGAGAGAGAGACAGCGTGAGCAGGGGAGGGTCAGAGAGAGGAGGAGACAGAATCCAAAACAGGCTCCAGTCTGAGCTGGCTGTCAGCACAGAGCCTGACACCGGGCTCAAACCCACGAACCATGAGATCATGACCTGAGCCGAAGTTGGACGCTTAACTGACTGAGCCACCCAGGTGCCCCAAATCCACTTATTTTTCTTAAGCAGTCAAAAATTCTTTTAATTTTCCAAGTTTTGTCCATATTACATCAAAATAACTTCAGACAAAGCATTCTTGTTGCTCCAGGATTAAAAGTTTCCAATAGCTCAATGTGATTATAATCTAGAAACACCTGAAATTGATTGTTTCACCTCCTTTTATTATTTCTCTTCCAGCCTGTTCACCTTAGGAGGATACGGATGGACAAAAGTTCTAACTGAAAAGTCCAGAAAGTGGATAATCTATCCCTGGCTAATAAGAAAGGAACTATGATACATAATGTACAAAAATTAACATGTATCGGAGCCTCAAAAAAAAAAACAACAAAACAAAACAACCAATGATTGGGCTTGGTCTAAATGTTTCTAAAATAAGCCTAACATGTAGATTTCTTTTTCATTGCTGTTTTACTGAGCATTTATGGAGAATTATATTTGGGTAAACTCAGGCTGAAAACACTAGCTTTAACTCTGAAGAAAAACATGAAAGAACAGAGAAAATTTTCTAATATATATATATATATTTTTTTTTTTACAAAAGATTGGTATTTCTTTTAAAACTGAATTTCCAAATACAATCTACACTATATGTATACACACACACACACACATATATACACACAGACACATATATAATTGTATAATTAATAAGCATCACACAGTCACATACAAACATCTAAATTCAAATATCACATTTCCTGGACTAATTACATCCCAAGAGTGTGCACTGAAATTCTTGAGTTTGGAGTAGACACTCCTGAGTCTCAACAACCCAGAGTTCCGGCTTTACACTCCCAATTTCTCACAGTGGCACTAAGTGGATGAACAAGGCCACTGCCACACAAAACTCTGGGCTTGCCTAAAGAGGTCTGACAGGAGCTGAACATATGCAGTACCTTCCTGTTATCCAGAGGACTGGAGGGTGTGCTTCCATAGGCTGACAATTCATAGCCCTTTCAAAACCCAAAAGTCAGGATGTCTTTTCAAATACTTGTGGAAAAAAATGTTTAATTTCAAAAATTACTGTTCATCATTATTATTCCCCAATTATTTACTAACTATCATTGTATGTAAGAAGGAGGCATAAAAAATTTAATCCCGGACCCCCAAGGAGCTTAAATGCCCCTTAAAACAGTCACCCATTTGTGATTACTTCACATAAAATACATCTTGAAGACAACCCAGGGGTCTGGTTGAATTCACAGCATATAGGCAATGCAAATTTGGGTATTTAAATCATAGGGAGTTTGTCTTCAGCTCCCTAACAAAATTAGAGATGGATGTATACTTTTGTGACTTAATAAAAACAAGTAACCTGTAATTTTGGGTTCCACTGGAATATACATGAATTGAAAGGGAAACCTGAAGTCCTTTGTATATCTGGACAAGGGCTCTCATTATTTCCTGTTCTTATAGTTACTTCCTAAATCCAGGAGCTAAATTTCCTTAAAACCTGGTAAGAAATCTATTTCCATGAAAACTCTTGGCTTGAGGATAAGATTTTTTTTCTTTCTTGGCTAAATGAGAAAAATGACAACTACTAAGCAAAAAGTCATTTTCTGTCATATATGTTGAGTCTGAGATGGGGGGAGGGGAAAGGCACATAGGATGAAATCAAAGGACTTCAAATAAGGATGCGCCAAAATATAGTAAGCAGTATTTCTTAATCTCATTATATTATTTTTTGTCTTTGTCATGGACCCAGTTGAAAGTCACATCTAACTCGTCAGAAGAAAATAAAAAGTCACTTGACACAATTCTGCACACAATTTAGGACCCAAGAATAAATACACTACACTACATGTGATAACTGTATGTTTCCTCTCCCTCTCATAAAACAAGGCAATTACACTCATGCGCAGATAGAACTAGTCATATTTTCACTACCTTATGAGAGAACACGTCAACTACTTTCAAACACAATTCTAGGGATTCGGGATACTACTACTAAATTTTAAAAACAAAAACAAAAAAAAAAACCCCAGCATCTCCAAGGTCCCTCCTCCTCTCTTTCCTTGAGTGAAAAACAGCCCAATAACTTACTGTTAGAAGCCAGAGTAAAAGGACTTTTTTTTAAAAGCCTGGACCAAGATGAAATAGGAAAAGGATCGCTGTGGGCACAGATGATGCCCTGGGGAAAAAGGTGAGATGCGCATACCCATTCTCCTGTGACCACTGTCCAAGCTGACAGCTTCACTTCCACTATCTTCACTTTAGAAGTTTCCCAATACCTCGTCTCTCCACACTTAAGAAAATGTGAATTTTGCTCTGACCACAGAAAGAATTAAGCACAACCGACACCAGCTTTAAAGTAAGCAATTAATATATTCTAATCTAACGTTTAAGAAGGGATGGAGATCAGGCAACAGCTCCTCCAACTGGCTGGAGCAGATTATCATTTGAAGCCCTAAAAATATTACGATTTTTTAAACAACTCCAAGTTCTGATGGGTACAGTCAGATGCACTGTAAAACTTTGAGACCAGCAGCAACGACACAACAGGTGAGAGAGGCGGTGGACATCACTGCACAGGGAGGTGGACAACATGCAGGGGCAAACCCTTGAGTTCCCCCGTAAGGCTGGGGACGTGAGATAATTCCCATGCACAAGGCCAAGACCCGGTCTTTACAGTGGCAACAGTTCTGTTCCTTCCGAGGGTCGCGCCACTCCCCCTCTCCTCACCCAGGGGACCCAGCACCCCAGGCACAGGAAGAACCGAGGCCCCGCCACGGGCAGCATCTCAGCTGGGGAAGATAACACAATGTCGCTCCTTATTTCTGCGTACAAAAGGACTTTGCGCCCTCCTCCTCGAACTGCCGCCGCTGCTGCCCGGGCCGCCTCCTAACTTGCAAGAAGGTGGGCAACGCGCCATATTCCAGCGTCCCCCGGTCTACCTGGGTAACAAGCCCACGCCACCCCGGCGGGAGGGAAGCTTCGGAAGCCGCCCAGGAGCCAGCCTCCTCTCCCGCAGGAGACAGCAGCTCCCGCGCCCCGGCCCAGCCCGCCGCGCCGCCCGCAGACCAGCCCCGGGAAGGGCCGAGGGGGCGAGCGGGGAGCCGCGGCTCCGGTCCCGCGCAGCCCGCCCACCTCCCGCTCCCGGGCCCGGCGCGCTCTCCAGGGCCTCCCGCTCCCGAGCCCGCGGGAAGGCCTGGCCCGGGCCCCGGGTTCCACGGTGGAGAGGAGGCCGCGGCCCCTAGAGCCTCAGGCGGCGGGGGAGGCCGGAACCCTGGGGCTCTCGGGAGGGCAGCGCCTCCCTCCCGAGCCCGCCAGGACGCCTGGGGCCTAGTGCGGCCTGCGCATCCTCGGGGTGGCGGTTTGACTGGGCCGGGCCGGGGCCCCCCGCCCGAGGCGGGCCGAATCCAGCGGGGGCCCAGGCCCGGAGCCGGGGGCGGCAGGGTGCAGGCTGCGGGGCGGGCCGGCCGGCCGGCGGGCGGGCGGCGTGTTGCGGCTGCGCCGGGGCTGAAATAGCTGGAGATTGCGCGGTAGGGCACTCACCTCAGAGCGGCTGCGCTACCGTGGGCCTGCGCCGTGGAGACTGCGACCGCGCCGGCTCCTCGCAGCCTCCTGCCACCAGCGGCAATGGCGAGCGCTGCCGCCTCTGCCGCCGCCGCCGCCGCCGAGGAGGGGGAGGGGAGGGAGAGGAGGCACGCACGCGACGCACGGGCTCGGCTTCCCCGCCCGGCGGCCGCCATGATGGGGAGGTCGGAGCTGCCTCGGCGGGTCTGCCCTGGAGGGGCTTCTGGGCTAGGGTCCCGGCCGGTCCCCTCGGCCTCCTCGAGTCCACATTTACCTTCAAAGGACTAGATGAGGCCGCAACCACGGAGGCAACTGGATTAGTCGAGTGTGGACTCTCGGGAGAGTGGCGCAAGCAGCCCAAGATGGTTGCTAATCTGGAAATAGTAACCTTTCTCGCCCCCCAGCCCCAAGAATTAGCAGCTCCTGAATGAGCCTCGTCATTCGGTAACGGGCTTTCCCACAGTTTCCTCAGCCTTGCTAGTCGTAGCTACATCCTCTTATGGAATGACCTTTGTTTCCCGATTCCAAGCCCTGCTCAGGTATTTAAAAGCAAAAATTTTTGTACAAAGCAATATATTAATTTATCTGCTCATTTATTCTTTGGGCGAACATTTCTAGAGGGCCCTTTCTGTGCCAGTTTTGCTCTGGGCACACTGGAGATGCACCTGTTAGGAAGATGGAGTCCTTTCTCTCGAGTTTGTACGTTGAGTGCAGGGACTCCGAAGCAATAGGGACTCCCCACCACCACCACCAAGCAAGTGCTGAGAAGTAAAGAGGAGTGGGTAGCAGAAAAACAATCTAATGTTAGAGACATAGGAGAGGTAGTTTGTGTTCTTGGTTTTTAAAAGTATGATCAGGAAACTACATGCATCAGAACCACTAGCAATGATTACTTAAATCCTGGGTCGCCACAATCTTGACTTGGTAGGTAGCCCAGGAACCTGCATTTTTAAAAGCCGCCTACTCACACGTTGCCCTGATGATTCTTATGGACACCATAATTTAAGAACCATTGCATTAGGATGCATGGTTAGTTCAGGCTATTCTTATCATCTCTAATCAAGATACTGCAAAAGACTTCATGATCTCCCTGCCGCAGGCATTGCCCTCTCTAATCCATTCTCCACCCTACAGTTTGAGTGGTCTTTCAAAAAAGTAAATCATGTCATTTCCCTACTTGACAGGCTTAATAAGATCCCAGGGCACATAAGTTAAAGCCTAAAATTCTTTTGAGTTGGTTTCAGAGCCCTTGGAGACCTCACCCTTGCTGCCATCTTTGACCTCATCTGCCACAGACTTCTCTGAGACTGCAGCCAACTTGGGAAGCTCTCAATTCATACAAGGGAGGAAGTTCTCCCACCTCATAATTTTTGCAAGGGCTGCTGTCTCTGCACAGAACTTTCTTCTCACTCTTTACTCCTAGTCACCTACTCAAACCTGAATAATTCCTGCTACTTCTTAAGGTCTCAACATTAATGCCATTTCCTGCAAGAAGCATTCTCCCATCACCCCAGTTGAGTGCTTTGACTCTTCCATAATCATACCCAGAAAATTCTGTGCTCACCCGTGCTTATTGAGCACCCATGCTGTGTCAGGCCCTGTTTTTAGTCCTTTACACACATTATCTCCTTTCTCATTTAATTCCCAAGGAGAGTCCACAAGGCAGATATTACTGTCATTATTATCTCATTTTGCAGATAGAGAACAAGGGCTTGTAGAAATTACTCACTCAAATCCTGATAGAGGTGAAGCCAGGTCTGAAAGCCATCAGCATAACAACGGAGTTATGCTCTTAACCATTCTTAGGATTTCCATGTGGCAGGTTGATATCCACTGATGAAGCACAAAGTTAACTTAGTGGGTAATGACCAAGATTTCATAAAAGAAATAGAAAATATCAGAGAACATCAAACTTAGTAAGCCTCCAGTTTTGTGAAACTTTTATTTCAGATATATAAATGTATGTACATAGGTGTGTGTATCTGTACGGATCATGGTATAAAACACATTTCTTACTAGGTTACAGCTACAAAAAGTTTGAAAGCACTGCATTACTCTTTCTCCATAGCACTTCTCGGACCATGAATCCGCTGTAATCCAGAAGCCACAGGAAGTCAGGGATTTCATATTGTTCATGATTGTATACCGTGCAATGCCTGGCTCATAGTAGACCTTCAGTAAACATATAATGAGAAAACATATATTCTGTGTCCACCCTCCTCAGAAATGCAAATTATTTTCTTAAAACAAATGAGCCTGTGTACCCCAGTTGCTCTGTCCAAAAGGCTTTTTATTCTGGATAACCAAAGATTCTAGAATCAGTCTCAGGAAAAAAGCAGAAAAATCCACCCTAAGAGATTAAAAGAATGGATTCCAGCAAAGTTACAATGATCAGCTTCAGCACAAGGAAGTCAGAAACTGTAGACAGGATAACGTGGGAGAAAAAAGAATTGTAAGATGGTAAGATGTAGGTAGTAGCTGCATTAAGGAAGAAGGGATGACTTGGGGCACGTGGCTGGCCTAGCCAGTGGAGTGTTTGATTCTTGGTCTCAGGGTTGTGATTTTAAGCCCCACACAGAGAAGAAAATAAAAGAAACAAAGGAAAGAAGGAAGGAAGGAAAGAGGAAAGGAAGAAGGAAGGAAGGAAGGAAGGAAGGAAGAGAAAGAGAAAGAAAGGAGAAAGAAAGAAAGAAAGAAAGAAAGAAAGAAAGAAAGAAAGAAAGAAAAGAAAAGAAAAGAAAAGAAAAGAAAGAGGGGTGCCTGTGTGGCTTAGTCAGTTGAGCATCCAATTCTTGATTCCAGTTCTTGATTTTGGCTCAGGTCACGATCTCAGTATCATGGGATCGAGCTCCACATTGGGCTCTGAGTTGAGAGTGGAGCCTGCTTAAGATTCTCTTCCTCTGCCCTTCTCCCCCTGCTCATGTGCGTTCTCTCTCTCTCTCTCTCTCTCAGATTAAAAATAAAACAAAAGAAGGAAGGAAGAAAGGCTTAAGATGACTTCCTTAGGGTCCAGAGCAAGGATAAAAAGAAGCCTAGACCCTTGAGAAATTATAGGGAGTCCAGCAGCCTGGATAATGAAGGAGATTCCCAGGTTGGCTTTGCTTTCAATAAGCTGCTGGTCATTTGACTGACTGATCACCCAGAAAAAATTATAGTGTGTACTAAGAACCAAATGAGTGCCCTTACTCAGGTAATCAGAATTGAAGTCATGTGGGAAATTTCACAGAGTGATGTACCTTGATTTGGCCTTGAAGGGTGGGCAAGATTCTTACGGGGATAGAGCAGAAAAGTGAAGACGCTGTAACCGTGAGGACTGTTGGGGGAGACTGAGCAATAATAGGTGGAGGCGGGAGTGTGTTTAGTAAGTATAGCAGCGAGGTGGGTCTTGGAGCAGCCAGCAGCCAGGCCTGTCTGAGGTTTTGCTCACTAGCGGGACAGACCCTCTAAGCAACAATTGACAGGAGCTTATCTGCAGGAGGCTTTTAACTATAGAACATAGTCTTCTCTTCCAGTGTTGTCTGTGTCGCTTGGGGTGGGGTGGGGGTGGGCCGATGGCAAGGGAGATGGAGATGAAGGAAGATGGCGAAAGCAACCATTTTCACAAGGGACTCTTCAGAACTCACCGGTAAGCTACATAGAGTCCCAAGAGGAGCAGCCTCCTCATTTCTACTTGGGAATGCGTGCAGCCCCAGCCCCATAAGGTTTAATGGGAACCTGGAATTATGTGAACAGTTCAAGGGAATTTTGCCTCTTTGGGACCATCAGTGGCTATCCCTGGCAGGGTCTGTATTTCTGGAGGGCGCTGGCGCCACCAGCCACACCCCATGCTTTCAGAAGCCATAAACCTCAACTGGGGAGGCGTGTCACATCATGGTACGGGTTCTGCACTCAGGTTCCTGGTGAAAACCTGGCCATGCCACTTTCTACCTGTGAGACGGTGGCAAATCACTCAACATCTTAAGCCTCCATTTCTCTGCCCAAGATGTGGAGGTTAAGAGATAATATAAAGGTTCACAACAGTCCCTGGACCCAGGAAGCACATTGTAAGTGCTGCGTATTATTAGCTCTTCCCAATTACCATTAATCATGTAAATTGCTTTGTACAAAATATCAGTATTATAGATGGTGGCTGTTGTGATGATGATGATGATGAATAAGTGTTTGTGAGCACATGTAAACATCCCTGGGGACTCCCCTCAAAAGCTAGGGAGAGCATTCAAGGGATGCAAAGACAAGGGGATTGTGTATGGGAGCAGTGTGTTACAAGGTTAAAAATGTCAAGATAAGTTTTTTTTATACCTAAGGGTGATTTGGGGGAGAGCAGATGGAAATGACTGTTTACTCTTAACTTTACTTAAATTAATATTCTGTATTCAGGTAATAACTTTAAAAAATCTATTCTTCTTTAAGCCTTTAAGTTTAATTTGCGAATCTCATCTATTTCAAAACCCAGGACATTTTAAGAGTCATTTTCAAAGGGCCCTCCTCTCCCTGAACCCAAGGTCTGCTGATGGTTCCCCATCATATGTATTTCCTGCTTCAAACTTTCCCAAGTGTGTCTGTCCTGCACGTGAGACTTTGAACTGTGATCAGGAGCTTGTGTCATACAAACGTTCAGTAGGTTGAAACCTGGTCTCATTATTTTTCCTCAAAGCTGTTCGTCCTCCTCTGGTCCCTGCCTTAATTAACAGTGTCTTTTGGATATAACATTTTCAAATCCTTTTTATATGAACTTCTCAGGTCAATTCAACACATATTTATTGGGCACTGCTATATACCAAATGCCAAGGTGCTGGGGATATGGAAGGAAACATGGGCTTTGTCCTTGAGAAGAGGCTGGTGAATGCTCCTTCAACTCAGCTGGAATACACTAAACTCCTTGAAACGGCTGCTTTCCTCACAATGTTGTTAAATAACTGCTAAACATTTTAAACGGCATTTATATATGTAATATATTTACTTTGTCTTTTGGACACTCTATGTAAATACCTGACCTAACAAACAATGTCCTCATGTAAATAATAACAACAACAACAACTTACTTGTTGAGCATTCACTAAAAGTCAGGTACTATCGCAAGGTC